CGGTGCCATGTCCGCGCCCAGGATCTGAACCAATGAAACACTGGGCCGCCTGCAGCAGAGCACGCGAACTTAACCACTTGGCCACAGGGCCGGCCCCAATGGATTATTTTGACTGTATTAGATTATTTCCAATTTAAAGAAAAAAAAACCTCTTTACTAAAGTAGAGAGAGATGAATATTCTCATAACAAAATATAAAAATATTTTAACATGACAAAATATGAAAATTTCAAATGAAAAGCCAGTGTCTTATTTAATGGGGAAATACTGGACACAGTTCATTTAGGCCAGGAACAAAATAAATAAAGATGACCACATATGATGGCTGTTTATCATTGTTTGGAATATGCTATAATGCAGACAGACAAAATTAAGAAATAAGTGGTGTAAAAACTAGAAGGGAGGTGGCGAAATTGCAATTTTTGTCAATGATGTGTTTGTTTCTACTGAACGAGTTGACTGAAAGTTAGATAGGAAAGATTGACGTACAAAAATGAATATGCAGACAATAGCCAGTTAGAAATCATCATGAAAGAAAGAAGTCTTTCACACAGGAAAAGGTAAAAAGAGAAGATACCTAAAAACAAAGAAGTTTTAAAAATATAAGATCTCTATGAAGAAGACTTCTAAATGCTATTAAGAGAGGTAGGAGACTTGAATAACTGAATAATGTAATGTGTTCTTGGGTACATAGAAATGCCTTTTCTAATTGAATAAATGTATACATTTATGCTGATACTAATGAAAATGCCAATAGAGTCTTCTTTTTAATTAATCAAGCTGATCATCAAGTTAATGTGGGAAAGTTAAGATGCAAAACTAGCCATGAAAATTCTGGAAAAAGTAACAAATATATGGGGATTAGCCTCAGTATATATTAAAGCAGATTACGAAATAGAGCAGTTCAGGCAATTTGACATTGGCACGTAAATTGGTAGAACAGATTAATTCTAGACCCAGATACAGCTGCAGATTGAGTATGTATTCAACCTAGCATTTACAATCAGCAGAGAAGAAATGGTTGAGTCAGTGAACGTTGAAATAACTGAGTAGCCATCTGAAAAAAAATTACATTGGCTCCTTACCTCAGTTATCTATTTTAAATAAACTCCAGTTGAGTCAAAAATTGAAACATAGAAATACAACTGTATGAAAGAACCAGTGATGGCGTTTTTGTACGTCTTCGCTGAGGAAGTGTCGATGCTTTGCCAAGTTTTGATGAAGCCAAACCAAAAGCAGCAGCAGCTACAGTACCACCGCAGAGACAGACAGACAGACAGACAGATAGAGTATAAATGAGTATTTTTTGTAGCCAGGTCTTTGGTGCAGTATTTACACCCTACAGTCTACCTTTAAAAAAAAGACAAAAAGCAAAAGGACGTGTTGATGATACTGTTAATTTAAAATATAGAACCAAGCCACCAAGCAGCAGCTGACATGTTGCTGGTTTGTGTGTGAAAAACACTTTCCCCTCGGGGTCAGCCCCGTGACCTAGTGGTTGAGTTCAGCGTGCTCTGCTTTGGCAGCCCAGGTTTGGTTCCCAGGCGCGGACCTATACCAGTCGTCGGCAGCCATGCTGTGGCAGTGACCGTGTACAAAATAGAGGAAGATTGGCACAGATGTTAGCTCCAGGCAAATCTTCCTCAGCACACACACACACAAAAAAACCTAGAAACACCAACAACCTCTCCTGTCTTGTGTCCTTACCCTTCTTGCTGCTTAGGATGGGGAGACTCCGTAATGTAAAGCAGAGGGCGAGAGCAAGAAGTCTCCTCAAGTCCACAGGACCTCCTCCCACTCCTTTCTAAATGATCACTTTGGGTGTCAGAAGTTGACTGGGAGAGAGAAAGAGAAACTCTCAGTCGAGTCCCTGGAAAGACAGTGTCCAGGGTGCTGTATTTTTTGCCACAACCAGTGTAAACTAGTAACAGACTTGCAGTGAAGATGAGTGTATTAGTGCGCAGGGCCCCACCCTGCTCCGCATGAGACACATGGAAAGCACAGCGCTGCTCTGAGCCTAAAGGAAACCACATTCCAAGTATTCTTTCCACTGGAGAAAAACCCAAGCTGTAAAAGCACTCTGCTTACTCTTGAGATACCTTTTAAAAAAATAATCTCTGACGAGGGACACCCTTTCTAAGGATGACTTAAGTCCCAGAGCCATTTAAAAAAGAAATCATGAGTTTAACTAAAATTTTACTGTACAGTCCTTATTTAGGAGAAGAATGCCAACTAATCCAGGAGGAGTGGTAGATAGAGAGAAACACTCTTTCACAGGCAACACAGTAATATTTTCTTCCAGCAACAATTACCCTTGGTACCTCAACAGTTGGAGGAAAGACTGGGGGGGAACAGGATAGTCACACAGTTTTAAAAATACCACCCCACAGATTACAAATGAAAAACAAGGGAAGGGGAGAGAAAGGTACCCTTACAGTGGAAAACCTGGAGGGAATGACCTCTTAACCCAGTGATCACATTTATCACCATCAGTGATGGGGACGTTGACTCATTCGTTGCCTTTGGCTGGGATACACTGAGAAGCCCACACCTCAGTCACCTTCCTACGGAAAAGTACCTGAGTCTGATTACGAGGCACAGAGAGATCCAGGTGGAAGGGCATTGTGTAAAGCAGCCAGGCCGGCTTCTAAAAGTCAGGCGTCAACACAAAACAAAAGGCTGGACAGGTCCAGATGTCAGCTTAGTGGAGATTAAATAGACCTCAAACTGCAGTGCGTGGTCCTTTGTTAGATCTTGGATTTGGGGAGCTGAAGGAAAATCTAACCGCTGTTATTGGGGTGCTGGGGTGGGGTTGGCTGTGGACTGCGTATTGGTGTTGGACTCACGTGAGGCTGCCTGCGTGTGACCACTGGTGAGGCAGGAGACTCTGCCTGTTGTTAGGAGGCACGCACAGTCTCTAGGGGAAAGGTCCCCATGTCCACAGCCAACTCTCAGAGGGTCCAGTAAACGTGTAGATTCTACGTGCGTGTGTGTGTGACGTGTGGGTGTTCGTGTATCGAGAGAGAGTAAGTCTGGGAACATGTTAGCCGTTGGTAAAACTAGGTGAAAGATACAAGGTTGCTCATTATGGTGTTGCCAGTTTTCTCCAGTTCTGAATTTTTTTTAACATAAAGTTGGGAAATCTAAAGTGTAAAATATTATAAATTAAATTCACAGAATCGGAGAGAATATTTGCAAACTATATAGTAAAGGGTAGATTTCCATAATATATGAAGACGATATTAGCAATCAGTTAGCAATGAAACAGAAAAATAGGTAACAGGATGAACAGGCAGTTCACAGTCGATGTATGAAGAAATGTTTAACCTCACCCACAATAAGAAGCATGCAAATAAAACCAAAATAAAATACCATTTTTAGCTTATCAGACTGGCAGAGCTCAAAAAGGTTTCTAGTCTGCCATGTGAGAGGCACAGGCGTGAGGCAGTGGGTGCTGACATATTAATGGTGTGAGCGTAAATCGGTATAACCTTTTTGGAGGGTAATAGGAGTTAAAAATTAAAATCCACGCCTTCCACTTCTAGAGCTTTATCCCAAACAAACACCTATTTAGATGCACAAAGAAGTAGGTATAAGGATGTTGGCTGTAGAATTGTTTGTAAAGGCAGAAGATAGGCCGCCATCTGAACGTCCATCAGAGGGGCTGGTCAGATCCAGGGCTGGATGTCCGTGCAGTGCAGCAGCGCCCTGCGCAGCTGCCCAGTGAGGCAGTCTGAAAGTTACTGCATACATAACACAGATCTCTGATAGGCATTTTTAAGTGACGAAAGCAAGATGCTGAGCAATTTAAAATATAGCAGAATGGAGGAGGATCTGGGTGCTAATACATGGTTATAGTCACTTGGTGAACATTCATTAAGCAGATTGCTTAGGATTTTTGTGCTTTTCTGTATAAAACATAGATACTAAAAGCTCACCAAAAACATCCAAAAAGGGGAGGAGACAGTACACATATATGTACATATACAGAAGCGTTTCTGGAAGGATGTGCAAGAACTATGAATGCTGGCCACCAGTGGGGGGGGGTACTGGGGGCTGGAGAGGGGACAAAGACTTTTCAGGGCTGTATTGGTTTTCTACATATAATATTATTAAAGAAGTTAAGGAATTTCTTTGAAGATTTTATGATACCATTTAAATGGTCACAGTAAGGTACAGATTTGTGGCAGGGTCTGACCATCTGCATATCTTTATCTAATGTGTTCAGGGAGAAAAGAATGGAAGGAAATTCAAGGTTAGATGTTAACAGTTTTTTTTCAGGTGATGAAACTAAATTGTTTTTCTTTTCTCTGTACTTTTCTGCATGTTTCCAAGTTTTCTGTAGTGAGATTACAATGTTTTTCTGATAGATGAAAATATGAGTCATACTTAATAACATCTTTTAAATGCTTAATAACAGTCTTGACTGTCGTGTGGGATTTCTCTCTGCCCTTCTCCCCTTTCTCACCCCTCGCCCCTCACAGACAGTAGAAAATTCCACAGATATTGTTGTTCTGTTACTCATCAGTATTTAAATAATATGAGGCTTTCAGAATATAAAAGTGGGGGCTGGCGCCTGGCCTGGTGGTTAAGTTCAGTGTGCTCCACTTCGGTGGCCCAGGTTTGTTCCTGGGCACAGACCTACACTGCTCTTCCCCAGCCATGTTGTGGTGGCGACCCACATACAAAATAGAGGAAGCTTGGCCTAGAAGTTAGCTCAGGGCCAATCTTCCTCAGCAAAGAAAAAAAAGAAAAAGAAAAAATATAAAGTGACTCAGGTTACATTATTCTGAGAGGGACAGGTATTGTTACGCTGGAGGAAAGATCCAGAGAGAAAGGGAACGCATGCCCAGCCCATCTGCCATGGCGCCTCTCTTCCCCGTTGTCCTAGCTGGGCGTAGTCTTGTTTCAGGCTGCCGTCTTCTGTAGTGAAGTGTCCTGGATGGTTGCAGTCAGGCAGTATTCATGATCTTGGCTGTCTTTTTATTTTATGTCTTTTAGAATAACTGCACAGAGACTTGCCCACTTGAACAAGTGCTTAATGAACTTCAAGCTGGGGAATTTCAGCTATCAGAAAAACCCTCTGAAGCTGGGGGAGCTTCAAGGCAATCAGTTCACCGTCGTTCTCAGGTAAAGCACTGCAGGCGGGAATGCAGACTGGAGGGCCTTGCCAGGTCACCTCGGGCCTGTTGGGAACAGGTGTTAATCCAGGTGAGCTGGCACCACCAGGCACAGTAGCAAGGGAGAGTGGGGCGGGCCCATGGGGCCGGGAGAACAAACTGTGCTGTGTGTCTCTACCCCCTGCCCTTGGCACCACCTTTGGAGGAAGCCGTCTCCGTCAAATACTGTGTTGAAAGACAAAGAGCCTGTGATTCCACTGACACGTGGTACCTGGAAAAGGCAAATGCCAGGACACAGAAAGCAGAACGGCGGTTCCCCGGGGGGCTGGGGCTTGGAGAGTTAGCATTTAGTGGGTGCAGAGTTTCAGTTTCGCAAGAGGAAGACGTTCTGGAAGTAGATAGTGATGAAGGTTGCACAACATTGTGAGCGTACTTAATGCCACTGTATTGTGTACTTAAAACTGGCTCACATGGTAAATTTAGTTATGTATATTTTACCACGATTTAAAAATCCTTAGGAGGTAAAGAGGAAGCTGCAGGGGACAGGGCGAGGCAGGGAAGCCAAGCCGTTCTCAGCGGATGACGCGCATCCCCGAATGTTTGACTGAGGACTTTTTCTCTGGGTAATTTGGGCCCCTGCAGAAACATAACCGGAACTGACGCCCAAGTCCAGCAGGCCATGAACTCTCTGAAGGAGATCGGCTTCATTAACTACTACGGAATGCAAAGATTTGGGACGACGGCCGTGCCCACGTATCAAGTCGGAAGGTTTGTGTTTAGTCTCTTAACTTTGATCTGAGAGAGCACTCGTAAAAAAGAAGCAGGGATTTTTGTTGGTGTTTCTAGTTATTTCTAGATTTTCTCGCGTCTGGGCCAGATGAACCAGTGCGTCTCATCCTTGGGTGACCAGCTGATCCACAGCTGCCTCCTGATTTCTGTTCTAAGATAACACATGCACAAGGTAAAAAATAAATCAGTTCAAAAAGATATAACCTGAAGGTTTTTCCTCCCGCCCCTTGTAGCCCATCCAGGGGCTGTGTTTTTATTTTCTTTTAAAGTAATTATTCACGTGGGAGTTAGAATTGTGGAAGTTACGGATTGGAGGTGAACTGAGAGATTGTTGAGTTCACGTTCCTCCTTGTGTTTCAGACCCTTCGTGTTAGCAGTGGTGAACTCCAGGCTCTGGGAGCTCTGCCGGGCTCCCTTGGTCAGCTGTACTCCCGGGAATAGAGCAGTTTTCTAGACTTCCAGTCCCTGGTTTTAGCAGCCGACTCCGTGAAGTTGCATTTGTTCGTGCATTTTTAAAAGCACAAGATGATGAAAGTCTATCATGTATTATTTCGTCTCCCTCTTTGAGGCGGTGTCCTAGAAGTTAGAAGCTCAGGCAGTGAAGTCAGGCTGCAGTTCTGAGCCTCAGATTGCTCACCCGGGAAAGGGAGATGATGATGCCAACCTCACAGGCTGGGGAAAATGAAGCGGGACGATGGTTATGCAACAGCTGTTCCTGTGCCTAGAATATAGTCAGTGCTCAGTAAATGGAAAGTATGTTTTAAAATTAAAGCATACCAACCAAAGAAAAAAATTCTGCCAAGAAGAAAACTACAGTAACTAATAATCACTGTGGTTAGATAATAAAACATAATATTTTCAGTCTTGCTAACAGTCAGAGGACATTGATAAAGACAGTGAAGATGCTAATTGTATCATGGACAGAATAATTAAGGGAAGGCTGTATCAGCCTTTGAATTTGTAATTAATTTGGCGGAAGAACATCCTGTAAATTTTCCACTCCAAAGATAATATAGAATAGCTAATGAAAATGAGATCAGTTTTATCCAGGAACAAAAATTGCATAGCGTCCCCTAAATCTGCAGTCAGTTTACAGTCCATTCACAATTCCAGACCAACAATTCCACAACGTGAGAATATTTCCCAGCTTCAAAGCAGCCCGCTTTTACCACCATAGGACCTCCTAAGGAAAAAAACAAACACTCAGTTTATAGTTTAAAGATGGAAGGATGGCTGGTATCCGGAATATTTAAAGAACTCTTACAAATCAAAAACAAAAGACAAATAGCCCAATCTCAAAATGGGCGAAGGATCTAAACAGACATTTCTCCAAAGAACGTAGACTGACGGCCAATAAGCACACAAAAAGATGCTCCACCTCATTAGGTAATCATTAATCATTAGAGAAAAGCAATTCAAAACCACAGTGACATGCCACTTCATACCCACTACGATGGCTAAAATCAAAAAGACAGTAACAAGTGTTGTTGAGGATTTGAAGAAATTGGAACCTTCATGCACTTTTGGGGAAATGTAAAATGGTACAGCCATTTTGAAAATAGTCTGACTGTTCCCCAAAAAGTTAGTTATAGAGTTACCATATGACCCAGCTATTACATTCCTAAGTATATATTCAGAAGAATGGAAACCTTATGTCCACACAAAAATTTACACCAGTGTTCATAGCAAACAAAAAAATGGAAACAGCCCAGATGTCCATCAACTGATAAATGGTGAAACAAAATGTGGTATATCCATACAATGGAATGTTATATTAAAGGGAATGAAGTACTGGCACATGTGACATGGATGAACCTTGAAAACATTGTGCTAAGTGAAATAAGCCTGTCACAAAGGCAACATACAGTATGATTCATTTATATGAAATGTCCAGAATAGGCAAATCCATAGAGACAGAAAGTTGATTAGTTGTTGCCTAGGGCTGTGGCAGAGGTAGTAGAGAATGACTGCTGATGGCTATAATGTTTCTTGTTTGGGGTGATAAAAATGACCTAAAATTGATAGTGTGATGCTGCACACTCCTGTGAGTATACTAAAAGCCATTGAATTGTGCACTTAAATGAGTGAATTATATCGTGTGCGAATTATACCTTAATAAAGCTGTTTAAAGAAAGAAGGTGGAATAAATCATCACATATATGGTCAAATGATTTTCAACAAGAGTGAGAAGACCATTCATTGGGGAAAGGACAGTCTTTTCAACAAACAGTATTGGGAAAACTGGATATAGACATGCGAAAAAATGAAGATGGACCCTTACCTTACACCAATCCACAAAAATTAACTCAAAATGGATCAAAGACCCAAATTAAGAGCTTAGCCATAAAATTGGAAGAAAAAATGGCTGGGGGGAGTTCATAACGTTTGATTTGCCAGTGGTTTGTTAAATATAACACCAAAAGCACAGGCGACAAGTTGAAAAAGCAGGTAAGTTGGACTTCATGAAAATTAAAAATATTTGTGCACAAAGGACACTATCAACAGAATGAAAAAACAACCCACAGAATGAGAAAATATTTGTAAATGATATATCTGATAAGGGATTAATGTCTAAAACATAAAGAACTCCTACAGCTCCACAACAACAAAAAACAATTGAAAAATGGGCAAAGAACTTGAATACACCTTTCTCAGAAGAAGATACACAAATGACTGTTAAGCACGTGAAAAGATGCTCAACATTACTAACCGTTAGGGAAATACAAATCTAAAACCACAATGAGATCCTACTTTATACCCATTAGCATAGCCGTTATCAAAAGAACTAAGTGTTGGTGAGGATTTGGAGAAATTGGAACCACTGTGCATTGCTGGTAGAAATATAAAATGGCGCAGCTACTGTGGAAAATAGGACGATTCCTCAAAAAATTACACATGGAATTACCATATGATCTAGCAATTCTATTTCTTGGTATATTCAAAAGTAGTGAAAGCAAGCACCCGGCAGATATTTATACACCCATATTTGTAAGAGCATTATTCACGATAGCCAGAAGGTGGAAGCAACCAAGTGTCTGTGAACTGATGACTGGGTCAACAAAATGTAGCACATAGATACAACAGAGTATCATTCAGCCCTAAAAAGGAAGGAAATTTTGACAATGTTACAACATGAATAAATCTTGAAGACTTTTATGCTAAGTGGAAAAAGCCAGTTGCAAATGGACAAATTCCTCTTATTTGAGGTTGCTAGACTAGTCAAATTCATAGACGAAGTAGCATGGTGGCTGCCAGGAGCTGGGGGAGGGGAAACGGGAGTCACTGTTGAGTGTGTACAGAGTTTCAGTTGCAGAAGATTGAGAAGTTCTGGAGGCGGATGGTCCTGATGGTTACACAACAATGTGAACGTACTTCATGCCACAAAACTATACACTTGAAAATGGGTAAAATGATAAATATTGTTAGGGATAGTTTACATAATTTAAAAAAAGGTGGAAGAAGAAAAGATAAGGTAGAAAAGTAGAAAACGTCTTACGTGTAGTGGGCCTGCTGTAAACCAAATACATCCATATTTAATGTGGCCGAGTACACTGAAACTTGCATAGGTGGTGGCATCTTCAAGGTGTTGAGAAGTCCTGTAGTTGAGAAACTTTTACTGTATTTCACCAGGTGGTGGCAGACTTTCTGATAGTAAATGTTGTAGGGTTTGGGGGCCGCAGTGTCTGCCGCTCCTCAGCTCTGCCGTGACAGTGGGAAGGCTGCCCAGCCAGTATGGGAATGAATGAGCTCAGCTGAGTCCAGTAAAACTATTCCACAATCGAGTGGCCGGCGAGTAACAAAGGTTTCTGAGCGCAGAAGTCTTTTTCCATGATAGCTGGCAGACTGGTGCCTAGTCCTGAGCTAGGACTGTGCTCTCTGTGGAGTGTTGCTGAAGGCCTAGCCAGCTGAATGATGGGTCACCAGGAGTACATTTAAAGACTGCTAGAGTGTGGCTTGCTTCAGGACCGCGAAGGTGGCCCGCCCTAGGAAACCTGTGTGTGGAATTCATTGCGTGAGTAGATTAAAAACCCGTATGATCTCATCAATTGATACCAAATCACATTGTATACAGTTTAATACACAAAGATATCCCATATAGGTTGACTTAGATGTGGAAAATAAAAACCCTAACTAGAAAAACACTAAAATTAGTAGAAGGAATATGTGTATTCATGTGGTAGGGAAAGCCTTTCTGAACATGACTCCAAACCAGAAATCTGACTAGACAGAAATTTTAGGTACGACACACAAAAGAGAACTTCTGTATGGCAAAAGAAAATATAATAAAAGTTAAAGGAAAAATTCCGTACACTTATAGATGCATCAAAAAAGTCCTGAAAAACACACTCTAAAGTGGTAACACTGTGTTTAATTTCTTAGAGGTTAGATAACAGGTAACCTTTCTTCTGCACTGTTTAAGAAGTCTATATAACTAATAATCAGCAAAAACAGAGATACTTCTCTTTTGGCAAGAATAAGAGAGAACGATAAATTGTATTCTATTTGCCTAGGTAAGAAGGTATTCAACATGGGGGAGAAATTTTTTGAGAAGTTTCAGTAAGTTTTGGTGCATAAAGACTTAACTTTGATTTACATGTTATGATCTTAATTTTCTTCTTTCTCGTCGGTTTTTTTGGCATTTACATTTGAAATCTGTGTCGTTATATTAGTTTTTCAGCTTACTGTTAAGTATAATAAAATATATAAAGTTAATATGATTTGTTGACTCCACAGATTTAGGCATGTAAAATTCACTGTAATGCAAAATTAAGTAAAATAAATGCTGTTTAATCTTAGAGCCATACTGCAGAATTCCTGGGCTGAAGTCATGGATTTGATATTGAAACCCCGTTCTGGAGGTGAGAATAAAATTTGTGTTAAAAAAAATAGGGGGCTGGCCCCGTGGCCCAGTGGTTAAGTTCGTGCGCTCCGCTTTGGCGGCCCAGGGTTTCACTGGTTTGGCTCCTGGGCACGGACATGGTGCTGCTCATCAGGCCATGCTGAGGCAGCATCCCACATGCCACAACTAGAAGGACCCACAACTCAAGGTGTACAACTGTGCACCGGGGGGCTGTGGGGAGAAAAAGGAAAAGTAAAATCTTTAAAAGAGAGAAGGAAGAAGGGACGGCCAGGTTTTGTCTTATGTTGAATCAGCTGTGATAATGAACCGTAGTTGGCTTTGAATCCTGGGAGGGTAGCATGTTGACAAAACCATCTCGTTCCGTGAACTTTCTGCATTTGCCATCTTTTCACTTTCTGATGGTTCTCCTCAGGTAGTAGAAGCTTTTCAGAGTACCTATATTGCAAAGAGCGTTTTCTAGTTTTGTGTTTTCAATGAAGCATTTTAAGTTAGGGAAATCTGTCACTTGGATAAATGTTTGATCACCGCTTTTTTCTGCCCCGCAGCCGAGAAGGGCTACTTGGTTAAATGCAGGGAGGAGTGGGCGAGGACCAGAGACCCGGCTGCTGCCCTCCGAAAGCTGCCTGTCAGAAGGTGTGTAGAAGGGCAGCTGCTTCGAGGACTCTCCAAGTATGGAATGAAGAATATGGTCTCTGCGTTCGGCATAGTGAGTGCAATTTGGGAAGTCAGGCAATGACCCAAGGTGGTTCAGTGCTTTTTAAATTTTGTCTTTAAATGTTTGAGTAAACTTTGAAAGAGAGAAGGTGAATAAAGGTGCTTTGGTGATCTCTGAGAGGTTCTGTTCAGACCCTGAATGTTGATGGGGTGGCCAGTGGGTACGGGCAGTGTTGGCAGGAATTACCAACATTGAGGGCTGGAGAAAAGCGTTAATGGGGAAAACATTATCGACAATGAAAATGTGATTTAAATTCAGTATCTTGCTATTTGAGAAATTCAGAGTCCATCATAGAGGTCATCTCTTGATCATCCTCCAGCATCAGCACCGTGACCTGTCTCACTGAGAGGGCTGCACAGTTGGCCATCTAAGCGATTGCGTTCTGATTTGGTTTCTTCCTGGTGGTTCAGGAGTGGGCACCATCTTGGCCAGTGGAGCCTAAACTAGTATTTGTATAATGCGCAATAGACTAAAGTTTAACTCTTAAATTACGTGTATCTTATTTACTCTTCCCCCGATAGACAAAAAAAGCAGAATTCTTGCTGCAAGAAATTAGTTGTCAGTTCAGTCATTTAGGTTTTCTCCTTCCGTCGAATTATGGGAGAGAAAGCACTGTGGGCTCCACAATTGATGTGTAAATTCCTTGAGTTTGAGTGAAGTCTAATGTCGTTGACTTAGGGAATAAAATTTATAGCATTTGCTTTATTTGCGTGAATGTCCGCGCTGTGGATACAGAACGGGGAGCGCCACAGCTCTGCTCATGGGGGCAGCCCTTCGTCTGAGGGCGCCCGCCTCTGAAATTGGTTTCTGCAGATCAGTCACTCTTTCTCTAGGCTGTTAGGAAAATGAGAGGTTTAAGGTATGAGTGATTTGCTAGGGTCACCACTAAGCAAGCAAGATGTCTTGGAAAGTTCGGCACTTCTAATATTCAGAATATTTTTTTCCTTGTCTATTTTTTCCTCCCCTCAGATACCGAGAAATAATCGCTTAATGTATATTCATAGCTATCAGAGCTATGTGTGGAATAACATGGTCAGCAAGCGGATAGAAGAGTATGGACTGAAACCTGTTCCAGGGGACCTGGTTCTCAAAGGAGGTAAAAAGGCAGATACCGTCGTCGTCCACCAAACTAGGGTTCGGTTGTTTGACACGAGTGCTTACTGTGCAGCGTGGCTGCTGATTAAGAGAGAGCGATGTCTGGGATGTTTGGAGTGGAAGGACCTTGTAGGTTGGGGCAGACTGTCTAGCTTACAGCTCACGGGATGCCCGGGAAGTTTGCTCTCCGTTCTTCAGATGAGGTTCAGTCGCCCACCCAGCTGGCTGAAAGGCGGAAAGGCTGGGATTCAGAGTCCTGCCTGCCTGCTTCCAGAGTCCGTGTTCTCCCGGCACACCCGCTGCCCCCACTCGCTGCACACCAGCTGCAGGGTGCCCAGTAGACACACTGAGATTTGTCGTTTGTTCAGAAATTTTAGTTAGTTATTTTCCTGATTTGGTATTTTTTCTCATCCAGTATTGATCACATCCAGTGTATTTTAATGTCCCATGTGCCACCACATCTCATCCTCTAAATAAAGACTGGTTTTTTTGGTTTATTCTCTTAGCTAAATGCATTCATTTGTGATAGCTTTCCAAATGGTATTTTTTAATACTATGTATTTTACAAATATATTTGTTATATTTATGTATATATGTGTTCCTACTATCTATTTTTTTAGTGTTTTTTAGTAAGGAAAAAGGATCTGATTTTTATAGAACATTTTTTTTTAAGATTTTATTTATTTATTTATTTATTTTTTCCCCCAAAGCCCCCCGGTACATAGTTGTATATTCTTCGTTGTGGGTCCTTCTAGTTGTGGCATGTGGGACGCTGCCTCACTCAGCGTGGTTTGATGAGCAGTGCCATGTCTGCGCCCAGGATTTGAACCAACGAAACACTGGGCCGCCGGCAGCGGGGCATGCGAACTTAACCACTCGGCCACGGGGCTAACCCCAAAAAGGATCTGATTTTTTAAAGCAAACATTCCCAAAAATGAGGGTGCAGCCGAGAAGTAAATGTTTTTTAACTTTCTACTCCTAAATCCATGATTTTTATTCCTTGTTAGAATAGAAAAGACAGAAAGGTGTATGTATATTCCCTCTTAGTTTTTCAAGCTTAGTAGGCCACCAAACCTGCCCCCACTTCCACTTCTGACTACTTAGATGTGTGTAAGTTTAGAAGGTGGAGCTCATGAAAAGAGTGCCTGTTTTCTTCATTTTTCTTAATTTATTCATTTGTGATTTGCAGCCACAGCGACATATATTGAGGAAGAAGATGTTGATAATTACTCCATCCATGATGTGGTAATGCCCTTGCCTGGTTTCGATGTCATCTACCCAAAGCATAAAAGTAAGTTCCCTGTGTGGGGAAAATAGTTAAAATAAAGACTGACACAAATAAGCCACTGGCAGCCAAGAATAGAGAGGGGGGGAAAAATTAGTACTTTAAATATGATTTTAGAACTTTGATTTCCATTAGGTTTGAAAAAATGTTTAGATTTCAAGCATATATAAACCATGTTTACTTATAGAAGTCTTCCAGAAAGGGAGGCATTCAGATGGATAATTTAAAGTAAGAAACAAGATGGTGGAGATGGTGGTGGCAGTGGTGGTATTGGTCGTCTTATTATTTAAATTTGTGAAATTCACTAATTCTTATTAAGGATGGGAAGGGTTTGGAAAGTGAATGATAATTCTACTTTAACATTGCTTTTTTTAATCTTTTTTTTAAACCATATAAGTACTATCTGCTCATTGCGTTTTAAGTCAACAAGCACAGGGGCCAGCCTGGTGGCACAGCGGTTAAGTGTGCACGTTCTGCTTCGGTGGCCCAGGGTTCGCTGGTTTGGATCCTGGGTGTGGACATGGCACCCTTGTCAAGCCATTCTGTGGTAGGCGTCCCACGTATAAAGTAGAAGAAGATGGCATGGATGTTAGCTCAGGGCCAGTCTTCCTCAGCAAAAAGAGGATTGGCAGCAGATGTTAGCTCGGGGCTCATCTTCCTCAAAAAAAAAAGTCAGCAAGCACAGAAGTTTATAAAGTGAAAAATCAGAATTATATCCCATACCCCAGAGGCTGTTAAGGATTACTGCTGATACCTTCATGGATGCCATTTTTGGGGGGGAAATTGGAACTTTTAATATTCACGGATTCAGAAATTGAAGAAAGAAAGCAGCTCTGAGCCTGGCACCCACCTTGTGGATTACTCCTGGCCAGGGCTGGTCTGTGGGAGGTGTTTTCCTGTTAAAACATCTTTCCTCTCAAGAGGCTGGAATTATTTTACTTATCAATGTCATGTTCCTTGAAATTTTACAAATCAAAGAATGATTAGGGTTAACACCCTTCTTTGATAATGCTGATACTTATAAAAGAGTTAAATAGTAATCTGCCACTTCCAGTTGATTCATTTAGTCCAATTGCTGTGCTCTCATACTTCAGTGAGGTTGACTTCACTGGGAGAAAAGGAGTAGAGAAGAGGAGAATGAGTAAGAGAAGCAGATAGGGAGGGGTGTGGTCGGCCTGTCCTGGGCAGATGGCGCAGTGAGGAACCAAGGAGACGAGTAGCAAGAACTAGTGAGAAGGAAGGTACCAAGATGCTCAGAGCCACACTTGCCCTCTTTCCAAGAAAGAAAAGGAAAACATTCTTTTCTTCTTTCTTATGCCTCTGAGGATCAGAAACTTGGGCCAGTACCAATTAAAACATAAATTCAGCACAGCCTTAGACAAAGCCTTATGGCCAGACAGGGCCTCACTGGCTGATAGGTGGTAGTTCAGGCATGTGGATTCGAAACATACACACGCTTGTGTCCACTGATGCTCAATTTAGGGATCCCTGTTGTCCTTATAACTGTGTCATGAGGGAGTCTTTCCTTGATCCTGGTATACCTGGCATTTTTAGGAATAACTTGAATAAAGAAATCTGTTTATCGTATTTGCAAATAGTGTGACCCAAAATAGTTAATATTAATTACATGAAAAATGAGTATTTAAAAAAACTGCAGAGGGCTTAATTTAATAGGGTTGAGTGTGAATTCTCACAGTTAATGCTCAAAGATCAAATGTATGGATGGAAAAGGCCCAGTTTGGTAGTAGTCTACATAGAAAGTGTCTGGAGTTATTGCTGAACATAAGCCTGTCACCCCGAGGCAGATAAGCAGTTTGGTGGGGAATACAGAAATGTCAAAGGAGTGGCAGTTAAGGGAACCATTGTTTGGCCTAGAGAAGATATGGCTGAAAGGTCCACGACTTACAAGTACATGTGGAAGACAGTTAACCTGCTGTGCTCCAAAGCAGCCAACAGCAGTTACAAGAAGACAGATTTCAGCTTGGAATAGAAAGAACTTTCTAATAGTCACAGGCCTCACAAAGAAGTCGTTCCCTGTAAATGACAGCAGTGTGTAAGCAAAGGCCGATGGCTGTCTCTCGGGTGTTACGGAAAGATTCCACATCAGCTGCGAGAGTGAGCCGGATGGCTTTCCCAGGTCTCTTATTTTCATGTTTGTTTATAACTACCTTCTTCCAGAAAGAGTTTGAGGCCTCTGTATATGGTCTCTTCCGACTCTGAGCGCATAGACATTTTAGTTTAGGGCCTCCTGAGGAAATGGCCTCTTGAAGCTAGCTTGGGAACCTTACAGCCCAGGTACTGTGGCTGGTTACAGAGACAGCTTACACGTTGGCAAGACGTAAGCTGGAGATACCTAGTCCTAGTTTAGGTCAGTAGGTGTTGACTCCAGAGAACAGGCTGGCTCGTCAGCCAGGGCGACCGATTTCCCTGAAGTTCCACGGCGCTCTGTGTAGTCGGGTTAGAGGCAGCTCGCTGACGTGCGCGCTCTGACTCGCTCTTGTGTTTTATATCAGTTAGCGAAGCCTACAGGGAAATGCTCACCGCGGACAATCTTGACATTGACAACATGAGACACAAAATTCGGGACTACTCCTTGTCAGGGGCCTACCGAAAGGTCGTCATTCGTCCTCAGAATGTCAGCTGGTGAGTGACGGTCCGGGATGAAGTAGAGCTGAATGCCTGTGTGAGAGCTTGACCTGTTGCATCACTTACATATTTTTCTGTGCTCACAGCCTGGTGTCTGAGTGAGTTATTCTTGTTATTACTGTTATCATTACTGCTACTACTTGGTGTTTTTCAAATCATCAGGAGATAGATAAATGCAAATGTGTAGTGAAAGTGGCTTCGTTTACATTTGACTGACATTACTAAACTCTGGAGGAAATCTGTAGAGAGTGAACTTTGTCCCTATGACTGAAACACGGGGATTTGCTTACAGAGCTACCCCCGAGCAGGGCACCTCACTCACAATTAGCTGTGGGTTCCAGACACTGATCTGGTTGTTTTAATGTCATGTTTCTAGAGAGGAAAAGATACTTATATTAACCCATTTTCAAATACTTTAATACCTAGTATTATCTAAAGCTTTGTTTGATAACTTTTAAAATTAAATCCTGAACTAGTTGCCCATTGCCGGGAAATCCTCTCTCTTTTCTGTCTCCTCTCCCTCTCTCTTTCTCTCTGCCCTCCTCTTCTCTGGAACGTGGGAAGAGGGTCGCCGAGGTGGCCTGGGTCTCCCCACTTCAGAGAGCCGGTCCTCCTGGGTAGCGTGGTGTTCGTATTGGTAACCACTCTGGAGAAAATATAAGCGCTGTGATTAATTCACTCGCATCTGTGCAAAGTGAAGTTTACTGCTTATCAACTACATATGAAAGGAATTTCCATCCTAGGGAAGTATTTTGTATCTTTTACGTAGGCTGGCATCATCTGTCGTCTTGCGAATAATAATACAAAGGTCATACTTATGTATAAAATCTGGCTGTATTCTGTTACTGAATAGTTCCACCCAGAATTATTTACAACAGACCTGTGTGTTTTCGGTGCTAAACAAATGGTGATGAGCGTGGCACCTTTTATGGAAGTTCACATTCACACTCTCTTTGTTTCTGTGTTTTGAAGGGAAGTCGTTGCATATGACGATCCTAAAATTCCCCTCTTCAACACAGACGTGGACAACCTCGAAGGGAAACCACCCCCAGTTTTCGCTTCTGGTGAGTTTACTTGGCCGTCGGTTCTGTGTCGACTGTGAATCATTTTCTCGTACAAAAACATGGATTTAAAAAAACTCTCAGAATCACCATCCCCTCCCACCCTCTCTGATTTCTGTTTTGCGTTTCGTCGTGATTTCATGATTGTGGCTGGAGGTCATTGATTGAAACAGGAAATCCCACTGAAAACGAACAAGCGTTACAGAAGGTTGTGAGCATCAGCTGACTGAATCTTTCCTCCCCTCCCCCGGAGATTTTCCACCGGGAAGAGAGTCCAAAACACTAAATTTGTGTTCTCGTTGGCAAATTTTCATTGCCATTCCCTTGTCTGTTTTCACTCTGAGCTCTAAAATTTTTTTTTTTTTAATTTTTCATGCATTTCTCTCCTGTGCTCTTCTGTCACCTGCCCTTTTCATGAAGGTTGCTGGCAGAGTTACCGTAGACCGGCTGGGTCGCACACTTGCAGGTCTCTTCCTTCCTGTCCCTTCTCTGAGGCCCGTGGACGTGGGCGCCTGGGGAGAGGAGCACAGTTCCTGTCCTTGTACAGAGGTGGCTTGGCCCGGTCTGTCTGCAGCCGGCTGACCTTCCTCACTCTTCTCTTCTCTCTCGCCCCGCAGAGGGCAAATACAGAGCTCTGAAGATGGATTTCGCTCTCCCTCCTTCCACCTACGCGACCATGGCCATTCGCGAAGTGCTGAAAATGGACACCAGCATCAAGAACCAGACCCAGCTGAACACCGCCTGGCTCCGCTGAGCCCTCATGCCCAGATCGGAAGACGCTGGCTTCCTGCTCCTTCTGCTCTTCGTTCCAGCCCCTCTGGGGCTTTGGGATCTTTGTAGTAAAAGATTATTTGTATTTTTTCAAGCTTTTCTTAGCTTAATTTGCAATATTTGTACACATACACAAATCCTGAGGATCCTGACTCCAGCCCAGAGAGTGTAAATTGGTCAGAGGATGTTTCAGGTGCTTAAATCATGGTGAAAGTCGGCTTTACTGGCTTTATGATAATTGGGAAGGACTTTGGTTTAAAGTAGCAGTTTTAGGTTTTGCTGCCTTCTTGGAGGACCACAGGAATTTTTAACACCTCCATGACTGCAGTATACGACAGTACATTTGAAGAGAATTTGACTATGGATAAATAATTAGACCCCCTCCCCACTTAAGAACATAAGTCAGTCTTCATGCTTATTTACATGATGATAAAACATCTACAGGTTTATAAACTCGAAATGATTGTCATTCTCTAGCTCAGGCACCACGTTCAAGCAGATGTTTCTAGATGTGTTAGTTGCGAGGGCTTTGGCGTTTGTATTATCGTTGCCTTGCGGGATGGTTGCACTGAAGGGGCCTGTTTCCTTGATGCAAACGTGTGCAGCTATTCTTATTAGTTCAGGTCTCATTTTCATTCTGGGTGCCTTTTATGTTCAGAACTCTTTCCACTGGACTGCTGTTTGTCCAGAAATAAAGAGAGAGCAGAGAAGACAACTTGAAACACTGACAAGGGCTCCTCGTATCAGCAGCGTTACCCTTTGTCACCGACGGCTTAGGTGTTTGCGTCTCTGGCATTGCGTAAAACTTCTGTGGTGGGAAAGGAGAAATATGCCTTTCCAAGGGTGTGTGGCCTAATTGTACCCAGTTTTATTTTCTATCATTTCTAGAACCAAATATAATAAATATTTTTAAAAACTCCTTTCTGCTGGTTGTGTTAAATCAATATCTAAAACTGGGTGCAAATGAGAATCTTGGCTCAGACTGAAGGCAAGGAGCTAAGTGAATGAGACCTTCAGAAAGGGTGTTGACACAAAGGTGTGTCGTGATGGGGTGTGAGACAGCATGAGGATAATACGGAGTTGCAGATTGTATGCCTGATGAATCAGGCTAGCGTGGATTCAGGTTGTTCTTGCAGTAGCACCGCTCACTTGCCTTCCAGTGTACTTTCTGGAATGGAAAGGAAAGGGATGGAGGGGAGCCACCCCCCCGGGAACCTGACACCATGGGAGCGTGAGTGACGTTCATCTCGCATCTGGCAGTGGAGACAAGATGGAGGACTGTTTGTCAGCCCTCGTGTTTTAATGATGTCCGTAGCACTGAGGAGGTTAGAAAAGGATTAGGAATATCGTGGTGAAGTACTCTTTTAGCTGGCTAGTTTCTAAAGAATCTTTGGTCTTACAAAGGCCACACTTCCTGAATGTGTCTTGGTCAGTTTGTAGTTTCCATTACTAGAAGTTACTCTCCTTCATCAGGCGGATGAGTGAAAAGTATTTATTAAGGGAACCTAACTGCCTGTTGGCAAGTGCATTCAGTAATTCTGCATTTATAAATTTACATTCCAAAAAAAAAGGCCGAACTTACACACGGTTTCTTCACTGGGGAAACGCTGATGGTTCTCTGCGACGAGTTGGTCTTCCGGGCTGCGTTAGCTGACCACCAGTTCTTGCCTGTCTCTGCTTAAACATCAGTGGGGAAATAATGATTCAAGGCGGAGTCTTAGAGCCGTTTTGAGACCCAGGGACATAGCGTGCAACTCCAGGGACTTGGTCGACGTGGAATAAATCATTGCCTCAGCGCAGATGCTCAGACATGTTATTGTTAACAAAGCGGAGAAATTCTTTTGAGGCAAACTTACAAAGCCTGAAAGCGCCGCATCCTCCACATGAAAGTATCTTCTGTCCCAGATTTTTGCCTGAAAGAAACAATGAAAGATCATTATTTTTTGTTATAATGTAAAACCAGCACTATTTACTAATGGAAGAGTTAGCTAAAAGAATAAAAAGTTTGTACTATTAACTGTTCTTATTCAAGATTCAATGTTGTAGATAATAACTAGACATTATACTAATAAACAAAATTGCCCTGGTCGATTCCTGCATCCACCGAAAAAATGGTAGCAGCTGTGACAGTATGTCAGCACTTCCAGCTCCCCACTTGTTCCAGGCAGTACAAATTAGCAAACACTCGTGTCTGTGCCGCAATGCATCTTGCGGCCAATTTTGCACTAAAAAATAAGGATGTGTATGTGCGTGATACCAAATAGAATACATGTATGAATGTTATATTAACTTCTAGTCTGTACTGATGTGTGTACATGTGGTATTTGAAACATAAGGACAGGACAGGCCAGTGTCCCATGTCGTCACCACACAGGAAGGAAGGGAAGGACAGTGGAAGAAACACAGGGCTGTGCGTGGCGGGGCTCTGCCCTCGCAAATTGCAAGGAGTGGGCCTGCATAGCAGAGGAGAACTTTAAGGTTTTTCTTGGTTCGATGAAATCTGCTTGCCCACTTTGTGGGGATCGGTTCCCGTAGGATAAAACATCTCAGTTTGGGATCATGATCTCCTTGGAAAATCTGAGGGAAAAGTATGGACACTCCCCAGGAGAAGGAAAGGGTACAAGTGTGTGCACACACGCATACACATACATACATACGCTAACTTTTTGTACAGTTTTCTGGTCTCCAGTGTATTCGGATAAGACCGCCTACTTTGAATAAGTGCTTTCCAAACTGTAATGTGCATAGAGTCACCTGGCAATCTTGTTACACCACAGAACATGTCTCAGGAAGTCCAGGTGGAATCAGAAACACTTCGCGTTTCTAAGAAGCCCCAGAGGATGGCTCTGCCTGGGTCTGCACACCATGCCTGGGAGCGAGGCTCTAGACCTGTGCTGGCCAGTGCAGCCGCCGCTAGCCACGTGTGGTTAATTTAAATTAAAGTTAAGTAAAGTCAAATTTAAACCTTAGCTCCTCAGTCGTGCTGGCCACAGTTGAGTTTGCTCCCCAGCCATATGTGTGGCTAGTGGCTGCTGTATTGGACAGCACTGCTCTAGATAACAGATCAGTCACCTGAGACACGGCGGGGTCTGCATTTATCAGGTGTGACACCTAATGATGCTGATGTTAAAGGCAGACAGTTAATACGTGTTCCCCTTGTGCAAGTGGGATTGCATTGCAGTTGGAGCTCGGGCTCACATGGACAGTTTAAGAGTTCCCACTCGGAACAGATCACTCCAGGAGTCTTCCTTACACTCGCTTCCACACTTCTCGTTTTCTGGCCTCCTCCAGGATCACTTGTGATCCTTTTTGCTCTTTTCTGCCCTTGCTTTCATCTAGGTACTTTGTCCAGAGGTTCAGTCAAAATGGTCTGAAAGCTCTGTGGCCTTGTTGCTCCAAGTGGGAAAATTATCCAAAAAACCAGTCTTGACTGCAGTAATTAAAAACTGTCCTTCTTGGCTGGCCCACGCTGTAGCTTCTCAAGAAAGCGGCAGCTGCAAAAAGCAAGAATGGTTAGAGTCTGTGATTTTGTTTTCTTATAGGAGAACGGTGATGACTTCTCATGGCAGCTTTTCCACCTGCGATAAAGACTCCTGGAAGGGGCCAGTACGTAAGAGAGACGGCAACAGGAACTCAGGGGAGAAGTTCCTCAAAGCCCTTGTCTTCTGATGCTTGCTTACTGTCCCCTCAGAAACTCTAGATGTTTCTCTAGAGCAGCTCTATCCAACAGAAATATAATGTGAGCCACGTAGTAATTTAAAATTTTCTAGTAGCCACATTAAGTAGAAAGAAACAGGTGAGGTTAATTTTATTATGTATTGTATTTAAACCGGTATATCCAAAATATCGTTTCAACATGTGGTTAGTATAAAAAGCTAAGTATTTTTACACTGTCCTTTTGGTACTAAGCCTTTTAAAATCCAGTGTGTGTTTTACAGTTAGCACATCTCAATTTGGACTAGCCACATTTCCAGTGCTCAGTAGTCACATGGGGCTACTGGCTACCATATTGGACAGTGAAGTTCTGGAAAGATCACTTCTTTACTGCATGTCACTGGTTTAATGGTAAATTTGTCCTGAGTATTAAGATTTAATTTGTAAAATTGGCAATATTTAGTTTGGGAGTAAGGCTAGTTAAATGTGATTTTGAAATGCTTAATAGATTATTGTTTTATGGTGATTGGGAGTAAATATTTTTGCCATGGGGGCACATAGCAAACGGGATTGTTAATAGGTTCTGAAAGATTTCAGGATGCTTGAAATTTTCCCTCAGCAGTTCCGATGACACCCTGCAATTTTCTCTCTTCTCTAAATAATGCAGAGTTAATCCTTCCTGCAGCCTCTGTGTAGATTTTAAATTCCAAATTCACGGATATGAGTTGAGGTTCCCGGGAAGAGAATGAGGACTGTGTGACTGGAGCGCGTAAAGCTGGGACAGCAGGCTGTGCCGGGTGGCGGGTGATGGAGGCAGAGCTCAGGTTGGTGTCTTGTTTGTTTTTGTTTTTATTCGCAGCCTTGTTGAGATATAATTCACACACTGTACCATTCACTCATTTCAGTGTACAGTTCAAAGGTTTTTAGTATGTTCAGAGTTGTGCAGCCATCACCATGATTAATTTTGCAACATCTTTATCACCCCAAAAGCAAAACCCCACCAGCAGTCCCTTCCCATCCCCAGCCCAGCCCAGCGCCTGGCAGCCATTACTTTCCTGGCAAGAACTACTTTCAGCCTCTATAGGTTTATCTGTTCTGCTCATTCATATAAATGAGAGTTTACAGTCTGTGGTCTCCTGTGTCTGGCTTCTTTCACTTAGCCTCCTGTTTTCCGGTTTCATCCGTGCTGTAGCATGTAGGAGCCCTTTGTCCATTCTTATTGCCACATAATATTCCATGTGCAAATATCCCACATTTTGTTCATCCATTCATCAGTTGATGGACATTTGGGTTGTTTTCACCTTTTGGCTAATGCTGCCAGCAACATTTATGTTCAAGTTTTTGTGTGGATATATGTTTCCATTTCTCTTAGGTGTAGAGCTAGGAGTGGAGTTGGTGAGTATGTGGTGACTCTGGGTTGAATGTTTTGGGGAACCACCAGACTTTTCCACAGCAGCTGCGCCATTTTACGTTCCCCTCAGGAGCGTGGGAGGGTTCCAGTTTCTCCACCTCGTCACCAACGCTTACGTCTCCGGCTATGGCCATCCTGGTGCTTGTGAAGTCACATCTCATTGTGGTTTTGATTTGTTTTTCTCTCATGACTCTTTTTGTTGAACATTGTTTTGTGTGCTTAGTGGCCCTTTTTCTGTGTTTTCTGGAGGAATGTCTGTTCAGATCCTTGGCCCATTTTTAAACTGGGTTGTGTTTTTGTTGAGTTGTAAGAGTTCTCTGTATTTTCTACATACATTATCAGATATATGATTGGGGGATATTTTCTCCCATTCTGAGGGTTTTTTTCACTTTCTTGGGAGCTGAATTTTAAAGGCTGCAGGAGATATCCTTTATTGAGATTTTATTTGTGAACTAAGAGTCCACAATAACCCCAAAATGGGTTTTCATGACCGTGAGAGCTCGAGGTTAAGTGCAAGAATTCCTCAACCTTAACTTTCCAGGATGAAAGGCGCTCAGGCGCACTGGGGATGGTCTCAACTCTGCCTGCAACTGATCAACTGAGAACTGTGTTCACACAAATAGCGCGTGAGTGACAACGCCCTGCTGCGCTCCTTCGACCCCCACCCAGCGCTGCTCTTTACTGGCCACGTTCATTCTGTTTCTGCATTTCTCTCTTGCTGTTCACAGTAATGATTTTCAACATATAAGATCTTATTAGCTGTTTTGACCAAGACAAAAATGTTTCGCTACCAAACACCTTGGTCTAGAGGATGCAGAGTCACCTCAGCTCACAAGGAAGCCACTTTCCATTAAC